CTTGTAGAAAAACCTAGGTTATGTCACAAAAAATCTACTAAATGTAAAAAAAAGTGACAAAACGTCGCTTCGCAAGATACGTAATACCCGTGCCGGACTTCTTGTAAAAGGCCATAGAATCGTTGATCACGCCAGCTAGATTCTACATACAAAGCGCAAAAGGAGAGAGCGAAAGAGAAGGGAGGTTGGAGGGAAAGAGAGAGCCGTATCGAGATGATTAGAGAAAAGCTATATTGGATCGGATATTTATAAGGTCCTTGTCGGGTGGTTCGGTGCCGGCCAATTTCCGCGTGTAGATTGCTATGAAATTTATAGGCGCGGCGTAAGCACTCGTTCGCCCATAAAAATTACATTACGCCAAATTGACTCCGAATAGAAAAGAGCTCCTGCTCTACCCAGGCCATCATCTTAATAAACTACCGGTTTAGTAATTAATTTTTCAGCGGAGCTCCGCACAACTGCCCTATTCCAGCAAAGTCTAATTTATCATAGCTTAGAAGCTATCGGCTAATTGGACCTGGTTTGTTATCGATGGAGCGAGAAACTGTGGACAAAAGAGGCACAGGTCAACGTCGAAAGGAAAGATGAAAACCTTTGTTTTGCTTTTTCCTTTAAGAATGACCCTTATTATACCAAATGTTTCACGCTTAACTTATTTGTATGGTTGTAATTTACAAATACCAGAACAATTGAGAAAAATATGATTGCAACTAGTATAATATCAGGTAATCAAATAAGTTCGTTGCTGTATATGGATGTTGTTGATCGATAGCGATTGTTTGTTACCTTTTGTCACTTTACTATGAATCCTTCTTTTCTCACACACAAAAAGTTGCTGAAAATTGTTACATACCTAGTTTTAATAATTGAAAATGGCAACGAATAAAACAGTAATTCGAAGTTGTTTACTGTATGAGTATAAACTTGGTACAAAAGCTGCAGCGGCGGCGCGAAAAATATGTACCGCATTCGGAGATGATGACGTTATTGATCGAACAGCACAGAAGTGGTTCAAAAAATGTTCTTCGGGAGATCTCAGTCTGAGCGTTGAACCGCGCTCAGGGAGACCAAAAATCATGAACAACGAGGATCTTCGACAGGTTGTGGATGTAAATTCCAGTACAACCTGCCAAGAACTTGCAGAAATGTTCAGGGTGAGTCGTGAAACTATTCGTTTGCATCTTCATCAGCTAGGAAAGACGTGGAAGTTAAGCAAATGAACTGACACATGATAACAAATTAAGTCGTCTTACCATTTGTTCAGCAAACATTTCACGCAACGCTAATGAACCATTTCTTAACCGATTATTAACCTGCGACGAAAAATCGATCTTGTATTCGAATTCTAAACGTTCGTATCATTGGTTGTCGCCTACTAATTCGGTACCACACACGCCCAAGGCTTCCTGGCACCCAAACAAGGTTTTGTTGTGTGGAATTGTCTATTATGAGTTTTTGGAAAGGGGTCAAACCATCACTGCTAACTTGTATTGTGAGCAGCTTCAACGAGTACAAGCAGCACTCATCCACAAATAGCCTTTTATGATCAATCGGAAGAAAGTGATATTCTTGCAAGGATAACGCCTAGCCTCATACCGCAAAAGTCACACGAGAAAAAATTTCTGAACTTGGCTGGGAAACGTTACCACAACCGCCATATTCTACGGACATTTCGCCCAGTGATTATCACCTTTTTTTTGTCTCTTGACAACTGTATGAGGCACCGACAGTTCACAACTCGAGATGGTGTAATAAATGCAGCCCGCCAAAGGTTTTACTCCAAATTCCCTGGATTTCTACAATACCGGCATACAAAAATTGGTTCCACGTTGGCAAAAGGTCATTGAATGTGATGGTAATTACGTCGACGAATAAATAGTGACTTATTGTTTCTCAATGAAAATTTATATGTTTCTACTAAAAACCGCACGAACTTATTTGGTTACCATAGAATATAATAAATTTTATTGAAATTTAACTAACATAAAAAATTGAGGAGAAAGCACATCCAGATTACTGTTAAAGGACTCATATTGCTAAAGCAGTTGTCAATCAGGCCCTGAATAAGATTAGTATAATTATTGTATACATACAGAAGATATACGTCATCGCTTGGATGCGGAAATATACTGTTCCAAGTTACGCAAAACACGTGACAATAATCAAGAAATTGCAGAAATTTACATTTTGAAATATATGAGGATATACATTTAATCTCAAATCGACTAAATGGCTGTCATGTTCACTATTTTTATATTGCACGTATCAAATACAAAATAACAGCACAAAATGCTTCAGCGTTATCTTTCCGTGCCGGCCCCCTCTCCACGTGTAGCGGAAGTAGGAGGTTAGAAACTGCATTCCGATTGTTTAATAATGTTTAATATGTTCGGGTGTATTGATATGTTTAACATGTAACGAAGGTATCTGTCGTTATCAACAAGCCCAATGTCTCCGTCCTTTTGTTTTTATACTTATTACAAGTTCTATCTTCTCTACGTTCGTTTTGAAACACCTTGTGGCTGCAACCTCAACGATGAGTAAGTTGTTTGACAATTTAAATCTGTCCTGTATGCTTTGCTAGCATCACAATTGTGTTTTCAGAATCCTGATGAAGGCTCCATAGAGAATGCCGAAAACTTGATTTTATCGTCTAAAGAGTCAACTTAAGCCTATAAATTTGCCAATTTCCCAATTAACAATTAATTGTATTTTGTGCCCTATATTCGAAGTTGAGTCATTTATTTTAACAGTGAGTAGATCTGATCAAAAGAAATGTTTTTTCCTTTGCCATTTTTCTGGTAAAATTAAAGTAACAAAGTTATAGCCCTTTGGAAGTTTGAGTACCGCCCTGTCTCAATAATAATATTATGTGCTCGTGTTTGGCGACAACGGATATAATCCGCCTTATCGGTTCATCGCATCGGAAACAAAAAAGCGAGAGAATTTGGAACGATGTTTTTACAATTATTTCATTCAGTTGTATACAGTCAGTGTCAGTCGGTAGTGAGTAGTGGTGTCTGTTGCGTGGCTCAAACGAAATAAAAAATGGCACATGTTTATGCGGATCGGTTTCCCAATCGAGTGCAACCAACCCCTCGTGTCTTTGTTAATGTAGTACAACGGGTTCGTGAATCAGGTGACTTAAGACCTCACATATGGCGGCATGCCGGTGCTCCAAGACCTCACGATAAAATACAGGTCCGCACTGAAATACTTGTCGGGAGGATACTTTATAAAACAAGGTAATTTTTTTTTATTTTTTTTTTTATTTTTACACACATATTTTGGTTTATCTTCCTTCTACAATCATTATCTGAAAATTAATGACTCAACTTCAAAGTCACCCTGTATATATATATAGGTGAAAAATAAAGCGTCCGCTTTTAGTTGGGTACTTCGACAAAATTCAAGCACTCTTTATACTTTATTAGTCTCTAGCTTTCAATGGACTACTATGCCATCATCATCAGGAGCTGTAATAACATTAAGAAGAAATAGCAACTATTGTGCAAAATGATTTTAAACTACTTACAATAGTATGTGAGATTGTTGCTAAATGTTATTAAAGGTTAAGTTGAGGGAAACATTTAGTAACCTGGTGAAAGCTGGATACATGGTACATTCGTTAAAATTAGTATAAAATACATACAGCTGTATGTTAGGAACACATTAAAACGGATTAAAAATATTTGGAACGAAAGTTAAAATTATTACATGTTACCTCGTGAAACAACCTGATGCTGCACAAAAAGGCGTGGCACAGGATCATAAGTAGAACTAGACCTAACTGGTCTAGACGACAATGACCACGTCTCAAGTTATATATATATATATATACGGGGGTTTTACAGCCTTTGCCGTGTCCCAAATTTCGACCGCCATTTTTCTATTTCTCCAGTCTTCCTCCTCTAAAGCCCTATCTCTCATGGTTTGCCGGATGCCGCCTTGCCATGAAATTGTCGGCCTTCCTCTTTTCCTCATATGTTATGGTATGTAACTCAATGCTTCCTTTGGCTACCGTCCTTCGCCCATTCTCATCACATGGCCATACCACAATAGCTGTTTCGTTTATATCTTGCCTGCACTGGAGTATACTCTATTCGAGAGCATATTTATTGTTTTGATATTTGTAGTTTGAAGAAAAAATCCAGTATCTCGTCGTTTGAAATGGTTGTAGGTACATTTACAAAAAATGTTTTATATACGGCCTTCTGAAATATTAACAGGTTTTTTCTTTTTAGCTTACTGACTCATGTATGCTCAAAATTAACCTAATTTGAACACATATGGCGATCATAGCTACTATCCTCATTCTTTAGTTGGTAGGCAACGGCATCAAAATAGTATACTCAATTTATACATTTTTGATTTAAACAAAAAGATGCAGATATCCACTTTACTCGGATTCGCGAGATAAATCTAATATAATGTTGTTTGAAATTTGATGACAATGTGGATGATTAAGATGCAGTTTCTCTGACTTCCAGTGTGTTTAAGGTTATTTGATTCACGACGTTTGATTAATGTGATCTTCAATCGTCATCAGGTGAACAGTTCAGAAACAACATCTCAAAACTAATACATGTAAAATGTATACTAAACAAAATAACCATAGACGTTCCCAAATTGTGAAAGTTCTTCACAGAATAACTAAGGTGTTCCACTTAGGATCTTCGATTTTTCTTCATCAAAATACCAGTTTTGCATTAACGAATAACAAAAATACGGATTGCGGCGAATACAATATCCACTTTGTACGAATCGTGAAGATGGTTGGTCAATAATGACAATGCACTTTTTTGTGTTGACTGATCCATGATTCCGTCATCAAACGGGAAATTCGCTCTGCCCGGAGTATTCGTTTTGTCCAATATCCCAACCTTAAGCTGGTCGATGTATAATGAGCTAATCGAACATCCATACTAAAGCTGAAACCCGAAACAGTACAAAGCACTTAACCATAATCTTAATTGCTGTAGTACGCATTTCTTTTTCAGATTATTCGGCACGACGGGGTACTGTGCAGCGTGTAACAAAGTCATTCCCGCATTCGAGATGGTAATGAGGGCGAAAAATAACGTCTACCACTTGGAGTGCTTCGCGTGTCAACAGTGCAATCATAGGTAAGATCATCAAACGTGGTAATGCTTATTTAAATGTTATCTTCGCCGAAAATAAAAACGAACGTAACGCTACGAAACATTGGCGTCATTAACTAGGAAGAGGGGTTCAGTTGGAAAATTTTGTTCACCGAACATTTTTATGATGTAGACGTACGCATAAAGTTTTACTTGACAGTTTTAGAGATCAAATCAGTTATGTTGGTAATTTCTTCCTGGATGTTGTTCTTCAAATCTTGTAGCACCCTTGGACCGTTCACTTTAGGGGATTTCAAAAAACCTCATTGGAGAGAGAAGAATACCCGAATATGTAATAAAATATGAAACACCGTTCACAAAAATTTCAACAAATGTTAATTTTTTTAAAATGGATTTCGCATATTTTATTACACATTCAGATAAACCTTTCCAAAAGAAGGAGGTTGATGATTATTAAGTTAGTGTACAAAATGCTCTACTTTGACAGCCTGCCAGCAAGGTACCATTGAACCCTCCATTCCAATTAAAAAAATGTTACCAGATGGCGGCCAGCCCTACCCAGATAGTTTACAACATTATTTCTATTTTTTCAGGTTTTGTGTTGGCGATAGGTTTTACCTGTGTGAAAACAAAATCTTGTGTGAATACGACTACGAAGAAAGGCTAGTTTTCGCCAACATGGCGTACAACCCGAGTAGTCTGGCCCATATCAGAAGGCAAGTCAGTAATTTACAGGTAAAATATCCCGTAAAACATTGTGAACTTCATTACCTTTGGATTCATGACGCTTTTAAAAAAAATTTACGTGCATTAGTTAAGGATTGTATCATATCTTGCTCATACGAGGGTTGTTTCAAAAGTAAGGTTGCCACATTTTTTTCAGGCACAAGGAATTTTTTATTTGATGAAACGAATTCACCATTGGAGACGTTGATCTTTCAAGCTATTTTTCTCCATTTTTTCTACGCATTGTTTTTAGACGTGAAAATCGGATGCCCGCACAAATTGGCAGTCGGGCCGGTGCTGAGCATCGCAAATAGGCGCTCCTTGTTGGGATCGGTGGTGGGGGAGCCGAAAAACACGAAAAAACACGATGCTGTTACCAGATTTCGCCTAACATCACGGACGGTACAGATACAGAGATTACAGAAAGATACAGATTAGAATTTGTCGCCGTTCGGTTAAAAAAATGCATGCGTGTTAACTGCATCCTTAATTTGCAACATTAAGGGCTGTCTAGATCTTCTACTACGTCCACCTCGACGGCCTTTGCACGATATAAATAAGTATATGCGTCTCGGGACAGAAACATCGCTAGAAACGATCTGAACATGCAAAGTATCAATATCATCTTCAAGACATTCAGTGTAATATTGCTATAGGAATGTGCCAATTTCGGCAACCGTATTAAGTAAAGACGATCGATATTTTATATTTCTTGACATTATACAGGCACACTAGCCTTTACTTGTCGCGCAAGTTAACAGTTTACCGATTTTTTTGACATTCCATGGGTATTTTTCAAACCCGATTTTTAGGTTTGTTAACCTACACACCGCGCGGCGCCTGGTTCGGATACTAGCACAAGTCGTGCCGCTTCACTGTGGTTGGCCCATTTCAATTTTTCGGAACTTGTCATCTCTGTTATCTTAAGGCTTTGGTGTATGTGCACGATATAAATAAGTATATGCGTCTCTGGGCAGAAACATCACGAGAAACGATCTGAACATGCAAAGTATCAATATCATCTTCAAGACATTCAGCGCAAGCTAACATGAAATCGATAACTCCATTATTGCTATAGGAATGTGCCAATTTCGCAACCGTATTAAGTAACTTAAAAAGACGATCGATATTTTATGTAGATTTCTTGAGATTATACAGGCACACTAGCCTTTACTTGTCGCGCAAGTTAACAGTTTGCCGATTTTTTTGACATTCCATGGGTATTTTTTGTGTTTTTTCAAACCCGATTTTTAGGTTTGTTAACCTACACACCGCGCGGCGCCTGGTTCGGATACTAGCACAGGTCGTACCGCTTCACTGTGGTTGGCCCATTTCAATTTTTCGGAACTTGACATCTCTGTTATCTTAAGGCTTTGGTGTATGTGCACGATATAAATAAGTATATGCGTCTCTGGGCAGAAACATCGCGAGAAACGATCTGAACATGCAAAGTATCAATATCATCTTCAAGACATTTAGCGCAAGCTAACATGAAATCGATAACTCCATTATTGCTATAGGAATGTGCCAATTTCGGCAACCGTATTAAGTAAAGACGATCGATATTTTATGTGGATTTCTTGACATTATACAGGCACTCTAGCCTTTACTTGTCGCGCAAGTTAACAGTTTACCGATTTTTTTGACATTCCATGGGTTTTTTTTGTGTTTTTTCAAACCCGATTTTTAGGTTTGTTAACCTACACATCGCGCGGCGCCTGGTTCGGATACTAGCACAGGTCGTACCGCTTCACTGTCGTTGGCCCATTTCAATTTTTCGGAACTTGATATCTCTGTTATCGTAAGGCTTTGGTGTATGTGCACGATATAAATAAATATATGCGCCTCGGGACAGAAACATCGCGATAAACGATCTGAACATGCAAAGTATCAATATCATCTTCAAGACATTCAGCGCAAGCTAACATGAAATCGATAACTCCATTATTGCTATAGGAATGTGCCAATTGCGGCAACCGTATTAAGTAACTTAAAAAGACGATCGATATTTTATGTGGATTTCTTGACATTATACAGGCACACTAGCCTTTACTTGTCGCGCAAGTTAACAGTTTACCGATTTTTTTGACATTCCAAGGGTATTTTTTGTGTTTTTTCAAACCCGATTTTTAGGTTTGTTAACCTACACACCGCGCGGCGCCTGGTTCGGATACTAGCACAAGTCGTGCCGCTTCACTGTGGTTGGCCCATTTCAATTTTTCGGAACTTGTCATCTCTGTTATCTTAAGGCTTTGGTGTATGTGCACGATATAAATAAGTATATGCGTCTCTGGGCAGAAACATCACGAGAAACGATCTGAACATGCAAAGTATCAATATCATCTTCAAGACATTCAGCGCAAGCTAACATGAAATCGATAACTCCATTATTGCTATAGGAATGTGCCAATTTCGCAACCGTATTAAGTAACTTAAAAAGACGATCGATATTTTATGTAGATTTCTTGAGATTATACAGGCACACTAGCCTTTACTTGTCGCGCAAGTTAACAGTTTGCCGATTTTTTTGACATTCCATGGGTATTTTTTGTGTTTTTTCAAACCCGATTTTTAGGTTTGTTAACCTACACACCGCGCGGCGCCTGGTTCGGATACTAGCACAGGTCGTACCGCTTCACTGTGGTTGGCCCATTTCAATTTTTCGGAACTTGACATCTCTGTTATCTTAAGGCTTTGGTGTATGTGCACGATATAAATAAGTATATGCGTCTCTGGGCAGAAACATCGCGAGAAACGATCTGAACATGCAAAGTATCAATATCATCTTCAAGACATTTAGCGCAAGCTAACATGAAATCGATAACTCCATTATTGCTATAGGAATGTGCCAATTTCGGCAACCGTATTAAGTAAAGACGATCGATATTTTATGTGGATTTCTTGACATTATACAGGCACTCTAGCCTTTACTTGTCGCGCAAGTTAACAGTTTACCGATTTTTTTGACATTCCATGGGTTTTTTTTGTGTTTTTTCAAACCCGATTTTTAGGTTTGTTAACCTACACATCGCGCGGCGCCTGGTTCGGATACTAGCACAGGTCGTACCGCTTCACTGTCGTTGGCCCATTTCAATTTTTCGGAACTTGATATCTCTGTTATCGTAAGGCTTTGGTGTATGTGCACGATATAAATAAATATATGCGCCTCGGGACAGAAACATCGCGATAAACGATCTGAACATGCAAAGTATCAATATCATCTTCAAGACATTCAGCGCAAGCTAACATGAAATCGATAACTCCATTATTGCTATAGGAATGTGCCAATTGCGGCAACCGTATTAAGTAACTTAAAAAGACGATCGATATTTTATGTGGATTTCTTGACATTATACAGGCACACTAGCCTTTACTTGTCGCGCAAGTTAACAGTTTACCGATTTTTTTGACATTCCAAGGGTATTTTTTGTGTTTTTTCAAACCCGATTTTTAGGTTTGTTAACCTACACACCGTGTGGCGCCTGGTGAGGATACTAGCACAGGTTGTACCGCTTCACTGTGGTTGGCCCATTTCAATTTTTCGGAACTTGACATCTCTGTTATCTTAAGGCTTTCGTGTATGTGTAATTGAAAAAATTTCTTATTCATTAACTATAAGTCTCAACTTTAAGGCCACCCTGTAAAAATACTTTATCTATTATATATCTCATATATCACGCATCCTGTCTTTCCGAATTTTATTTTATGAGTGTTAGCTTAAGGACGTCTTATCAACAAAGATAAAACAAAATGTTGATGATACTCTATTTATTTTCGTTTGAGAATCCTCATTATTCTCGAATATGTTCTACGCAGATCGAATATTGAGCGTAGAGGCTGCCGTAAATGAGAAAGTATTTCATGAGAGATCACGAAACAGATATTCAGCCTAAACTGCTGTCTTGATTCGGGTCTAAAGGCCGCCGTCGTCGGTTGGAATTTCTTTCTAACGTTTCGCTAGCACGAGTGGCAAGCTTCTTCAGAGGTCCTTCCATTTCCGATGCTGGATGTAGGCTGACGATTTCTCTTGCGCAGGTTGTATTTATACCGGAGGCTAGGGGACGTGGCGTGTGCCGCTTCGGTTGACTTCGGGATGTCGATCTACACTGTTCGGGCGTTTCTGAGCATCGGGTGCCAGATCGGGTTGAGTCTGAGGGTATCTTCCTTCCTGTTGAAGTTATCTGGATTGTTTGTGAATCTCGATAGCTTCCCCTTTTGTGATAGTCGTTGACTGATGACAGCAACCTGCAGCTCTCAAAGTGTATCCTGTGGTCCCCATTGCTTATTGCATGTTCAGCTACCACAGACTTCTAAGTTTTGTCCTAGCCGGCAATTTGCTTTGTGCTCCTTGAGTCTCATTCCCATTGATCTTTCCGTGGTTCCAATGTATACTTTGCCGCATGAACATGGTACGCGGTAGACTTCTGCAGCTGAGAGTGGGTCCTTCTTGTCCTTTTCCGATCTGATGGTTTGTTGGATCATCTTCGTAGGCTTGAAGATTGCTTTAATGTCATGTCTCTTCAGGACTCTGCCAATCCTATCCGTGACTCTTGGCACAAATGGAAGATACGCTTGAGAGGTGGTGGGACGCTGTTCGGTTTCACGAGCTCGAGCCCATTGATCTTTCGATGTCCCTCTTGCTGTAGCCATTTGCTTCCAACGCAATTTTCAGGTGTTCAAGTTCTGTCTGGAGGTTCTCCGGTTCGCAAATCTTTCGAGCTCGTTCTGTCGGGGTTCTGATGACTCCATACTTCTGACTTGGGTGATGATATCTATCTGTGTGCGTTGGTTTCCTGTACACTGTGTGACCGAGCTTGTTACATCGCTTCCTGACTAGTACGTCCAAGAAGGCCAGTTGTTGGTCACTCTCTATCTCCATGGTAAATTGTATGCTTGGATGCCGATCGTTGAGGTACTGCAGAAACCTGTCCGTGCCATGTTTCCAAATCACGAAGGTGTCGTCCACGTACCGGAACCAAATTGCTGGTTTGTTCTCCGATGTCTCATCC